GCCTGGGCAGAGACGCCATTCCATTATTTTTCAGCTCCACAAATACTTTTCTCTCTTTCTGTGATACTGGGAAATGGAACCTAAGGCCTCATGCATGCTAGGCAAATGCCCCACCGCTGAGCTACATCCCCTGCTTCAGTTCCACACATTCCAAGGGACTGTGACCACTGATTTTGCTGCATACTCAGATAATAGTGTTATGTTATTGGATTGGGGTATTGCTTTGGCTTAGAAACCATCAGGGTCAAAGAAGAAGAACATTGTAGGCCCCAAGGAGAGCCCCTCCATTTTCTCCTAGGGGAAGACACCACAGGGAACTGCAAGTGGAAGGACTTAAAATTCAAAGCCTGTTTTCTGAGGGCCCTTTCATTTTCTTCTACTACTTTTATGGTTTGATCATTCAAATGAAGTGGTTTAATCTAATTAGGATACATTTAGGTAAACAGTATGAGATGACATTCCTCTCCCCAAATAGTAGCTTATTTCCCCTATAGTATCATGCAATGAACAATCCACCCCCTCCCTGTTTGTGAGGCTTCTTTTCTCCTGTGTTTAGTGTGTGTGTGTGTGTGTGTGTGTGTGTGTGTGTGTGTATGCATGCACACATGCACACGTGCACACATCCATTTCTCTGTTCTGATCCATTGATGTATACATATGTGTGTGTGTGTATATATATATATACATATATATGCATATTTTTGTATCAGTACTATTCACTATTTAATTTTAATGTTTGGACACTTATAATGTGTTTTGTTATCTAGTGAAGCTAGCTCCTCCTCATTATTGTGAGTTTTTAAAAAATGCCATTATTTTTTCTCCCATTTTTATTAGTATATTATAATTTTATAAAATAGTGAGTTTTTTGTTACATATCTGTATATGCATACAATATAAAATATAATTGAGTCAATTTCATTCCCCAGTACCTCCTCTTTCCCTCCCCTCCTGTCTTTCTCTGGTCCCCTTCTCCTATTCTACTGGTTTTCCTTCTATTTTCATAAGACCATCCCCACCATTTTTTTTCCTTCCTATCTTCCACATATGACAGAAAACATATGACCTTTGATCTTCTGAGTTTGGCTTATTTCCCTTAAAATAATTCTCTTGATTTCCATCCATTTCCCTGCAAATGACATAATTTCATTCTTCTTTATTGCCTAGTTATTTTTTACTGTTTATTCTTTTCAATGAATTTTAGAATAACTTTCTCAAGTTCCAAACAAAATCCTACTAGTTTTTTAATTGGAAGCAAAAATACCTTTCAATTTAATTTGGAAATTAACATTGAGTTTTCTCACCCAGGAACATGGTATATCTTTCCCTTTATTCACACAATCCTTTATATATCTCAGCAAGTTTTTGTAGCACTTTTATATTTTCTACTTGGTTGCTATTGGTAAACAGAAAAATATATTTGTGTTGATTATCTTGTATTAAGCACTACTTGAATGAGATTTCTTATAAATTCTAACAATTTCACAATTTTCTCAGTTTATAATCTTAAGGGTTTTGTTTTTCTTTGTTTTATAGTACTGGAGATTGAACCCAGTACTTGTATCACCAAGCTACATCCCTAGACTGTTTTATCTTGAGACAGGGTCTCATTAAGTTGTTGAGGCTGACCTTGAACTTGCAATACTCCTGCTTCAGCCTCCCAAGTAGCTGGGATCACAGGAGTGAATCACCATGCCTAACTATCTCTTGCATTTTAAAAGTGAACAACTGTATTGTTTGCAAATAACTTATAGCCTATATTAGCTCCTGGGTGGAATCCAAGCATTAAGCTGTCATAAGGTAAACTTATATATTATTGGTGCAATATAATAATACATTATAATTTGTTCCTTAAAACTCATCTAACCCTGTGAAAATATCAAATTGACAGTGAAAATAAGGAAAAGGAAAATCCAAATATATTAATTTTAAAACCCTTATTAACTATGTAAAGCCAAATACTTAATAGAAATTCTGCATCATAAGATGTCTTAAAATACACACCTATTGTGAATATATGAAAAAAAACATTGAATTTTTCACTTTAAAGAGGTAATTATATGGTTTGCAAACTATATCTCAACTTAGAAAAAAAGTCCTAAAGTTAGAATGAGATGTGATACATTTTTTTTCTGCTAAATATCACTCAAGTAAAAATAGGCATTCTTTGTTACCCTCAAAACCTTCCAAGAGCATTAAATTTTTTGAATGCTATGCTTTTGTTTTTCAGAAGCAAAAACGACAAGTAGCAACTTAACCTTGTAAAAGACATTAAAAACATCAGAGTAATAACTTGTCTATCTCACTGAAAAAAATAGTGCAAGAAAGACTATTACACAGCTTTTAATGAAAGTTCTATTGAATAAATCTCAGAATAATTTATAATTTTAACTAAATTCACAAGTCATAAATAATGACCATAGGGCTGGGTCTGGGGCTCAGTGGTAAGAGTGCTCGCCTGGCACATGTGAGGCACTGGGTTCGATCCTCAGCACCACATAAAAAATAAAATAAAATAAAGCTATTGTGTCCATCTACAACTAAAAAAATACATATAAAAATAATGACCATAAGAAAAAATTATAGAACTTATAAAATGGTATATGAAGAAAGAAATGGGATCAACTCTCTGGAAATTTACTATTGTCAATGAGATATGTAATGAAACATGGTAAATATTTGGAGCTGGGTAACTTCTATGGTAACTCTATCACTGATCCTTTCTTTTCCTATTTTAATCAAACCCCTTTAGGACTGAGCTCCTTTGAGAATCTAATAATTTAATCACTTGTGTTTTATAACTCGTCCTTGATTTGTATTTCTCAGCTTGTTGACTTGTGACAGTAATATATTACAGAGTCCAGTCTTGTTTCATTGATACTGGACATGAGTTTGCAAATAGTAGACTTTCTCTTTGCTGATTTTGGATAACTTTGCCAGAATTTCTTCATTGCTTTTGCTCTGGGACCTGCAGGTACCCCTCCCTCAACTCTGATGTTACCAGCATTCACTTATTTTCCTGTAGCTGTTAAGCAAGGTGCCTACTTTGTTCAAGATGAAATGTATTCCTTTGATATCTTGCTTTACCTATACTTATTTTTAATATATTTATTTGCAGCACTGGGGATTGAACCCAGGGGTGTACTACCCCTAAGTCACACCCCTAGCCCTTTTTATTTTTTTTATTTTGAGACAGGGTCTCACCAAGTTGCTGAGGCTGACCTCAAACTTGTGATCTTTTTGCTGCAGTGTCCCAAGTCACTGAGATTGGAGACATGCACCACTATACCTGGCTTAAAATTGTTCTTTTAGTCATTGAGCTGTAAGAGTTATTTACATATGCTGTCTACTAGATTCATATCAAATACACGATTTATGAATATTTTATCCCATTCCATGGATTATCTTTTCACTTTCTTTTTAAATTTTTTTAGAGTTGTAGATGGACAGAATACCTTTATTTTATTTGTTTATTTTTATGTGGTGCTGAGAATTGAACCCAGTGTCTCACACATGGCAGGCAAGTGCTCTACCACTGAGCCCCAGCCCCTAGCCCTATCTTTTCACTTTCTTAACAGTGTGCTTTGAAGTTCAAAGTGTCTCATTTTAGTGGAGCCAAACTTATCTATTTTTTCTTTTGTTGCTGTGCTTTTGGTGTCATATCTAGGAATCATTGCCTACTCAAGATCATGATATTTTATACCCATGTTTTCTTCCAAGAGTTTAATAGTTGTATCTTTCTCTTTAGGTATGGGATCCATTTTGAGTTAATATTTACATATGGTGTTAGGTTATGGCTCAACCTCAATTTCTTTCTCATGTGGATATCCAGTTATCCCAGCATCATTGATTAAAAAGATTATTCTTGCCCCCATCAGATTGTCTTGGCTCCCTTGGTGAAAATTAATTGACCATAAATGTATGGGTTTGTTTCTGTATTCTTGATTCCATTCTATTTGTATAAAAAATTTTGGGTGGGGGGGTACTGGGGATTGAACTCAGGGGTACTTGATTTCACTTGAACTTACACAGGACACTGATGTACAGTGCATGGTACTTGTCCACATTCTCCTTGTTAGGAATTTTAATCTTGGGGATTGTTGGAGGTTGCAGGGAGTTGCAAAAAGGAGTGGTTACATCCTAGCCCTATTTTGTATTTTATTTAGAGACAGGGTCTCACTGAATTTCTTAGAGCCTTACTTTTGCTGAGGCAAGCTTTGAACTCGTGATCCTCCTGCCTCAGCCTCCTGAGCCACTGGGATTACAGGTATGAGCCACCAAGCCCGGCATAAATAGTATTTTAATGAAGAATTTTCCCTGAGCCTTAACCCGGGAAAACCATGAGTAGAATCATGCCATTTTGCCCTCGTTTATGACTAAATTTGGTGGAGCCCTGTAGGATCTCACTTAGGAATAAGAAGCAGAAAAATGGTTGTCTAGGAAATCAGGAATGGGATCTGTAGTGGCTCATGGAGAGAACTTAGGTTTGGAATTAGTAAGACCTGGATTTGAATGCTAGTTCTATCCAAAATTGTATGGCTTTGTGTAAGTTTCTTAACCTCTAGGAACTTCAGCTACTATGAAATGGGGATGATGGCAATGTCAATCTCAGAGGGCATTAACATTAAGAGACAAAAGTTGTGAAAGTGATGACATGGTCCCTGGTCCCTAACAGTAGGTATTTGACATCAAGCAAATTTATAGCTGATTCATGGTCTTGTGGATCCCTCCCATCTGACTCAGAGTGGTTGTATGGGGTTAGGAAAGGTGGGCTATTCCATGGTAACCTGTGCCAGTTCCTGTGTTTCTGCTTCTGTCTCCTACACTTATAGCAGCTATAGTTCCATTCCCTCACCTCTTTTGTCAGGTGTGGTGTAAAGGGTGGATGATAAAGAAGAAGGAAATAGCTTTCTACACACCAACTTTCTGGTCAGAAGAATAAATTTTAGATTTGACGGATGCCCAGTAGTGAACTACAGTGTAATTAGGAAATAGTTGTATACTGTTTTATATATCTAGAACTTTATTTTTATAGAAGAAACACGTAGTTTCATGGTGGATCTGGAACTCTGTCATAGGTGAGGGAATCCTGTCTGCATGAGCCACAGTTCAGGCCCCTTGTTTACCTTGTGGCAGTCCCCAAATTGTAAGGAAAGAACCTGAGATGAAACAAGCTACCTTTCTTCTACACAAAGCTTCTCATCTTAACCCTAAATAGTAATGGTATTGCTAAGGTTTAGGAGGACAGGGCACAGTGTTTGTTGGCTTCTCGTTACTTCAATTAGTTGGTTAGAGTGACTCATAAGACTCTAAACAGGGTTGTTGCCCTAAAACTGTTTCCTTTCTCCATATTTGACTCTGTCACTTGGGAGGGGATACCATTTCTGGAACCCAGATTCAATAAGTACTTTTGGCTTGGTTGTCATCACTTCATATCCTTAAGATCCAGCTCCTCTCCACATTCTTCCTTTATTATTTTCTCTATTTGGATCCTTTGTGACTTTGTGGGTTTAGTAACAGGGAATCTGGCTTCTGTTATATGATTGTCAACTCCTGAGTCTCAGGAAGGCCATATTCAACTTTGTGTTGGTCAAACAACTTGCGCAGGGCACTGATGTAGAGTGCATGGTACTCGTCCACAGTCTCCTTGTTGGGCATTTTAATCTTGGGAATTGGCAGGGGTTCCCCAACTGTGGAGAAGGAAAAAAGAGAAGCATCAGAGTCCCCACCCCAAGTCACACTACCCTTCCCTCACTGGGGCCACATACTGACAGTATCTGGGCCCTTCCCCTTCCTTCATGCTTTTTTATTGTTGTTGATCTTTCTTTCTTTCTTACTTCCACCCTCCCTCCCTCCCTTCCTTCCTTCTGTCTCTCTCTCTCTCTCTCTCTCTCTCTCTCCTCCGACTGCTGTCTCTCTCTCTCTCTCTCTCTCTCTCTCTCTCTCTCTCCCCCCCCCTTTTTAAATGTTACTGCTGAATTGCTGAGGCTGTCATTTAACTTGTAGTACTCCTGCCTGGGAGTGCAGGCATGCACCACTGCACCCTGTACTTTCTTCATTTTTCACCCCTCTACCCCTGCTCCAGCACTATATTGGCCCTCATGCTCTGGCCACCTAATATCAACCATATTGCAGAGAACCAGAGTAAACACAGGAGGGAGCTGAAGGAGTGTGTATGAATAATGATGTACTCATGACAGCTGTTGAACTCTCTCACCTGGGAATGGCCACAACTGTTATCTGCTTAATTGTCTTCCCTACCCTACTCTAAACCACACCTACTAGAATTCCTTTTGTCCCATCCTAGCTGTTAGTCTGATCTCCTAGGACGTGATGACTTGAGGTGGGGGGATCAAGGACCCACTCTGCCCAGGGAATGCAGGAAGCTCACCAACAGTGTTAATGGGCCGATTGAAAGGCAGTAAGCCCCAGGATCCACGAGTGAGGCCCCGGCCATGGAAGGTACACAAATTTATTCCCAGGACTTTTTTAAATGCTCCCTGGATGATTTTTTGAAAGAATCTTAACCATGTGCCTTCAGGGAACGTCTCCTGATTGTGAACTTCATTCTCACCGAAGGAATAGGAAGGGACAAGGTATGCCCTGCAAAGAGAAGGGCAGGGTATGAAATCCCGGAGGAAGCAAATCCTCCCCAAGCAAAATCTCCCCCGGGAAAACTCCATCCAAGATCAGAAATTTCTCCAATATCCTCATTATAGGTCAAAAATTTAAGCATTCAAGTATACCTGCCAGGTCCCACCCTCCCAAACGAACTGTGACAGAATGAAACTAATCTCGGACACCTAACTGCCTACAGAATGATCTTCCTAAATTGCATATGTGGACATGTCACTGCTCTCACTGAAACTCTTCCAGAACTCCTCACTGTGTACTGTAGGGCTTAGCATGGCCTTTGTGCTCCAGCTCTCCCTACTTGGCTAGCTCCCCCTTTCCCTGCTCCTTCCTTGAGCCCTGTTTAGCCATACTAAGTGTGCAAAGTTCTCTCTCATCTATGTGTTCATGCTGCTCCCTCTGTCTTTTTGTGGCAAATTCCACTTTGCCTTTCAATTCTCAGTTCTGATATTGTCCCCTAGAAGAAATTTTCTTTAGCTACCTCCAATTCCCCACCCCCTACAGTGGCTTTGGTGCCCCTCATCTACTGCTGACCTGTCTCTTGTCCTCTCACTCCCTAGCCCTGCGTTACAGTCATCTCCTTTCCTGTCTGACTTCCCTAGGAGATGGCAAGCCCATCAAAAATGAGAATAGTATCATATTCACCTTTGAATCCCAAGGGCCTAACATGGTACCTGATATTTCATATATCCTCATGGAATGCTTGAATTCTTTCTCCCTTTTCATCTGACTCGAATCTCCTACTATTTAAATTCACAGTTCAGATGTCACTGAACTATGAAACCTCTATTCTGGTTTAAAGTCTTTCCATGGAATTGACGCTCCCATAGCAATTACTATACATCTCCCTTATGCACTTGGTTCATTCAACAAATATCTCTTGAGTTCTTTCTATGTGCCAGCATTGTTCTAGGCCCTCAGAATATATCAGTGAACACATTGGATCAAAAAAAAATCTCTGACCTCATGGAACTTACTTTTTTACTTTTACTAAAATACCAGGTAAATAAAATAGATGATATATAAGAAGATGATAAATACAATAGGAAAACAGTAAAGCAGGAGAGTCAGGATAGAGCCATTTGAAAAGAGATGTTTCAGCAAAGGCTTGAAGGATGTACAGGAATGGACCAAGCAGCCATGTGGAGGAATAGTGCTCCAGGCGGAGGGGACATGAGGGCAAGACCCTAAGGCAAGAGTATATGTACTTGGGAAACAGCAAGGAGGCCAGTGGAGTTGTGAAGGCACAAACAAGGGGAGGAAGTAATGGGTGATAAGGTCAGGAAGGAGAGGTGGCTGAGGACTAGATGAGACTTAGTGTCTTTTAGACCCTTTTGAGGATTTTGGCTTTTGTTCCAAATAACATGGGAGCCACTGGAGCATTTTGAGTGTGAGATGATCTGACTTATATTGAACAAAATTATTCTGGCTATAGTTGTGAATGGACTCTTGGAAATAAGGGAGGGAGACAGAAGCAGGGAGAGTAGATAGAAGTATTATATGATGGTAATTTAAACTAGGTGGTTGTGTGAGATGGTAAATGATTCTGATTACATTTTGTAATGATATGTGTGTGGGTCTGTCTTCCACAATGGACTGTGGGTTTGTGAGGACCAGGTCTTATTTATTTCTAGAGTCTCAGTGCCTAGTCCTATGCCCTACACATAGTAGGTATTTGATAACTGCTGAATGAGTGAAAATATATATTTAAAAAATATATTTTTTCAAACCAGATTAGATGTTCTTCGGCTTTGTGCCTTATTCATCTTGGCAATCCTCGTAGCACCAGGGCTAGTGCCTTCCTTGACCTTTGGAGATTCTCAGGGTCTCCCAGTGAGTAGATGGATATAGAATGAAGCCCCACTTCCCTAGACCCCCAGCTTACCAGGCTAATGGGCATAAGGTGCAAGGTTTCCTATAATTCTTTCACCAACTTCAAGTGAGAAAGTTGTCCACTGTAATATGTCTGGAGGTTCAAACATCCCCAAGGCACAGTAGTAAAGGGGTAGAAGGAAACAGAGTGAAGAAGGCCCCCCCTAACAGGTTTCCCAGAGAGGACACCATTTTGGAGAGGGCTACAGAGGTCCTGTGTCATTATGAGAAGAGAGCCCACAACCCAGGGACCCACCCTGTCTTCAGAGCCAATTTCACAAAACCTTTGCGATTTTTTAGCAAGATGGTGGAGGCTCCTGGGCGGCACAAGAGGGCTTCTGCAGCTCCACCCACCACAATAGTCACAGCATTTCCTGAGCCTTTCTTGGTCAGCAAGTACTCCAGGGCCAACTCACTCACTGGGCATATACCTGTGAAACCAGAGTCAAGTGGTAGAAGAAACTTGGTGCAGGGTTTTTCCAGACTCTTTCTGTTGGAGACAGTTTTGTCTCCTGCTTATTGCTGTTCCCACCCTCTGTCTTTGGCCCCCATATCCTGGGCTAGACTTAGCCTGAGGTGGATCCTTAGGCCTACATGCTTAACTTGGGGGTCTGTGCTGATACAATTGGGACTATACTGAGTTCCTCTGCCTTCTTCCATCCAGAGCCTACTACATTCTAAATCAACATTCTTTGAAACCCATGAACTACAGCCATCTTCCACTCTTCTCAGGCTGACAGCACTGAAGACCCTCCAGAGTTCTTTTCTCCATGGGTGATCAGGACTAGAGCCACCATCAACATGCTTCTTCCCTAAGGGAAACCTGCCAAAGGGGAGCCATTGGCTGGTGGTTTTAAAGAGTAGGCAGACCTGGCAGGCTATCTAAGCCAAACTGAAATGAACAGTGGAAGGTGGATGACACCTTGTTGTTCAATGTTAGCCAGAGTCTTTCATCACTTCTGAATCCTGTCTTTGCCCTTCACTCACCTTCTACTCTCTACTGCGATGACAAAAATTGACTCCAGGATCCAGCTTTGGAGAGAGATCCTGCACCAGGGTCATGTCAACCTCAGAGGGAAGCAGAAGCATCCCCTAGGATTCTAGTAATTCTACTTGTCCCTTTCAGATAAATGTATCTTACCTCTGGTGTCCAGAAGGATGAATATTCATCTAGAGAGGACATCTGTCAGGCTGCCCTGGCTTAAAGCCTGGTGTGGGGAAGTTGTCCTGATGGCATCTTATGCAAGGGCAGAGGTGTTCCAAGGAGATAAAGTTCATGAACCAAAAGTATACTAGCTGGTATGAGAGACTCTAAAATGTTTTTAAGCTACCCTTGGCTGAGAGCTGTATGGATGACTGGCCATAAGAAAGCAACTGACATCCCAGAAAAGAGTCTGGTGAATCATTTCTGATTTTTGTTTATGATTCTGTTTAATACTTGGCTTTCAACTTCTACTTTCCATTTTGGCATTGATCCTGAACTCAGCCTTCTGGTTCCCTCTGTGAAAGGAATCCTGGCAAATCATATGAATGCCTGTAACTTCCCCGGTTGCCCAACCAAATCCTGCCTCCCAGATCTCAGATGGAATCATATGCTTCACCACATACTCCTGACACTGGCCCAGTGTGTTCTAGATTCAATTTTTACCAAGTTCTTTTCTATGAGGGAATGACTGTCAGTGCTTATCAGTGTTGGAGCCCTGAGATACATTCTAAAATGGAATAATTGTACCAAAAAGAATTTCAGTTGTATGTATACATAGAAAATACTAATCAAAAGTAAATAAATGAAGGAATGTAAGGAAGATCATTAGAGGAGAAGAGGGAGAATGGGGGAGGGAGGAGGGAAAGAAAAGCAGAGGGAATGGGGATTTAAATCAAATCCCTTGCATATGTTATTTTGCCAAAATGAACCCAAGTGCTATGTATAATTTTAATGCTCAAATAAAAAATAAGCAAAATTTAAAAGTTGAATGATTTATTATACTCACCCATTGACATTACATATTCTCGCACAATTGGGATCCAGAAGATCCCTTCCAAGGTCGCTAAAACGGGAGTGATGGATGGGAAAATCCGAGCAAAACCACTGGCCTCAGTGGCAAAGTTGATGAAGACACCATAAGAGAAAATTCCATGGGGGTGGCTGCCAATGATGTAGTTGTGTTTGGGAGAAAGGTCATGTGTCTTCACCAGCTGTTAGAGGGAGAATGAGTCAGAGCATTGGCTAGGCAGAAGAAAGAGGGGATGGGTAGACTCAGACCCCAATGGGTAGCCTATGTTTCCTTCTAGGAGCCTCAAATCTTTGCTCCTTGGGATGCCATCATTGACATAGGCTTGCCAGGAATCGTAGTGGTCAAAGAGGCTAAACTGGGTTTTCCACTGTTCATCTGTTCCCCCACCTGCCCATCCATCTTGGGTCTCTGCTCTGCAGTATACCTCTGGGCCTTGACCTTCACTGATGGCCACCAGCACTCTTGAATAAATGGAACTGGATAGGGGGTCGGAGTCTGGGCAAAAAGGACCAAGGGCATCCAGAAGAAAGATAGTCACCTTTACTGGGAAGTAATTTTTGAAATACTTCCAGAGGGTCCAGTTTCGTACCCAAGCTGAATGCCTACCACCTGTGGATAGAAAAGGGAAGGGAAGAGCAGTTGGAGACTTGTCAGTCCCTTTAGCTCTCCCACAGGTGAAGAGTTCTGTTGGAAGTACTCATGCCCTTAAAGGATTCCACACCTTAAAGCTCTAAGTACCATCCCTAACCCAACTCCCAAGACAGGAAGCCCCTATTCCTCTGGAGCCATCCAAAAAGTTTTTGGGACAACATCTCAAGGCTGGGGGCACCTTCTCAGAAACTCCAATCTCTTAAATCTTTCTGGGCAGCCTGGCAAAGCCCTCTGTCCCCTTCTTTCCCCACTGTATTTCCCCCTCCCCTTCATCCACTTCCCTCACCTTGAGGTTTTATCTGTGGCACAGGCAGGACCATCATTCTGCCCCCATCACTTACCTTGACTGTGAGTATTCCAATCATAAGCAAGCCAGGCTAAGGCAAGCACAGCCAAGTACCAGAATCTAGTGAACACCATGAAGTAGGGTATACTGATAATGGAAATAGTTCCTGAGGAGACACATGGGATCATGCACTTCAGTTTCTTTCCAGTTTCAGCACACCTCCCATAACTCCCATCTCCACTCCACACCAAAGGAGCAGCACAAAGTCAGAGTGGCCTCTTCTCTCCTTCTCCCCTTGTACTCTTGCCTAGCTCTTCTGTGGTCCAGGAAGACCTCTGAAATATTGGATCTGGAGCTCTCAATGGCTGAGATTTTAACAGCAGAACCATGAAGTGCTCAGAGCAGACCTTCATAAGGGGTCCAAGGACAGCAGTACTTTTTAGAAAATAGAATATCATGTTGGGCTGGTGGCTGATTATTCCCATTCTGGAACTTCAGGAAATTCTTTCTAAAATCTTGACCCTCCTTTCTTTCTTTTCTGAACCACTAAGTCTGCGCATTCCAGAGCTTGCCTGCAGTATACAGGCTATTTGATTCTGAGGGAAAAAATGCAGAATAGAAATTGCCTGACCATGTTCTGTTTTTTCCCTTTCACAATGTTATGAAAGTTCAAACGGGGAAAAAATTTATCTCTGTTAGCAAAGGAACACAGCAGGCTATGAAATGCAAACAATACTTCTTACAGTTCTGGGAAATGAATGCCATTTTATTTTTATGTAGTTTTTGCCATGTTGGGGATTGAACTCAGGTCCTTGTGCATTACATCTGATACAAGTGCTCTACCACTGAGCTACATTCCATTTTTAAATCTGCATTCATGGAAAAGATGGGCTAAATACACATATTGTGAATTAAAAAAAAAGACCTAGCTAAGGGAATGACATCTTTAACAAGCTGCCACATCATGGTAGATGAAATTTTCAGAGAAACAAAAGAAACTCGAGTTGCCAACAGGCTTGTCTCTTGCATTTGAGACATAAATGAAAATACCAGTAAAAAAGACACAGTGGGCATTTCTTTTAAAACTCAGGTTATGAACAGGGCATGGTGATGCCCACCTATATTCCCAGCAATTTTGGAGGCTGAGGCAGAAACATCATAAGTTTGAGGCCAGCCTTGGCAATTTAGCCAGACTCTGTCTCAATAATAATAATAAGGCTAGGGGTATGGATCAGTGGGAGAGCACTTGCCTACCGTGTGCTGGGCTCTGGGTTCCATCCAGTATTGCAAAAAAACAAAAACAAAAATTTCTAATTAAAGGTGGTCTAAATGTATCTTGCTTTGAAAAAAATTTTGTTGAAATCTTCAGTATTTATAATAGTGCCTGGCATATAGTAGGTCAACAAATATCTAGACTGGCTGAAAAATAAATAAATAAATAGATAAATAAATATTTTCTCTTTAAAGTCAACTTAAGTGATTAATGTTTAGTTAGCATGTGCAATGCTATTTAAATATGACATTATTTTAAAAGTGTAGCCAGATTGTGTGCCTTCTTACATATTTGGTTTATCTACCAGTCCTCAGGTAGCCTAGGTGCCCTTGCCTGGATAAACACCATCTTGTGGAATTTATTGGAACTGCAGGTGTGGCTCTGCAGGAAACCAGAAGTGCAATCTGAGAACAAGCCTTCCAGATCCAGCCTGTTTGAATATCATCAGTGTAACGGGCGAGTTGACAAAAGTGGGATTGTAGGATATCGTGAAGATAAAGGGAAGATCGGTAATGTAGAAGAAGGAGACTGAGAGGCAGAGTAGAGGGATGGGTTAGGGGAGGCAATGCAGAATGAATTCTTTAAAAAATATGTTATCTGCATATATAAATATACCACAGGGAACCTCACCTTTATGCATTAGTAAAAAGAACCAATTAAATATAACTAAATAGCTAGGTGTGGTGGTGCATGTCTGTAATCCCAGTTACTTGGGAGGCTGAGGCAGGAGAATTGCAAGTTCAAGGCCAGCCTCTGCAGCTTAGGGAAACCCTAAGCAAGTTAGCAAGACCCTGTTTCAAAATAAAAAGTAAAAAGGACTGGGGATGTGGCTCAGTGGTTAAGAGGATGGAAAGGAAGTCTAGTAGAGTAGAGCTTCAAAATAGAATGGAGAGGGGAGGGAGAACCTGAGGAAAAGGGGAAGATCATGAACTGAAATTGAATTCCATGCATGTATGACTTTGTCAGGAGGAACCCAACTACTATGTACAACTATAAAGCTCTAATAAAAGATAAATAAATAAAAATAAAGAGAATAAACAGAGGCCCAAAGTAGAAAAGCTAAAGATCACAAAACAAGGAATTTCATGACATAAAGCAAAGGCATCTGGGGAAGGAGTGATGAAAAATAAGCACTTGTGTGTATGTGTGTGTGACACTCCCTTAGGCATGACATTGAGACCAGGAGACAGTTCCAACATCTTGTTCACAGTCAAGTGAATGAATGTGAAGAGGATTATCAAGAATGAATTTCAGGGCTGGGGATGTGGCTCAAGCGGTAGCGCGCTCGCCTGGCATGCGTGCGGCCTGGGTTCGATCCTCAGCACCACATACCAACAAAGGTGTTGTGTCCGCTGAAAACTAAAAAAAAAATATTTAAAAAAATTCTCTCTCTCTCTCTCTAAAAAAAGGAATGAATTTCATATACATAGGTTACTTTTTCAAAAAATTGCAGTGCTGGGGATTGATCCAGAGTCTCAGGTATTCTAGGCAAATACTCTATCACTGAGCCATATCCCTAGCCCCACAGGTTTCTAATTTAGTTTGTACTGAGGCTGACCAAGCCATTCTAAAAGATGTGCAGTTGTAGCTCATCATCATTCTAATTTGCATTTCCCTGATTGCTGATGATGCTTACCAGCTTTTCCTTTGCTTATCTGCCTTCTGTGTTTCCTCTTTAGTGAAACTTCTGTTCAAATCTTTTGCCCATTTTTCAATTGGGTTATTTGTTTTTTTACTATTGACTTTGGGAAGTGCTTATTCATTTTAAATACAAATCTGTTCTGGTATGTGATTTGCAAATATTTTCTCCCAGTCCTTGTCTATCTTTTATTTCTCTTAATGGGGGGGGTCTCTTTCTTAGTGTGAAACCTTTTGACTTTGATGAATTTATTTTTTCCTTTTGTAAGTTGTGCTTGTGTATGTGTGTGCATGTGTGTGTGCATGCATGTGTGTGTGTGAGAGAGTGTGCATGTGGTACTGAGAACTGAATCCAAGACTGTTCTACCACTGAGCTGCATCCCCAGCCCTTTTATTTTTTTGAGACAGGGTCTTATTAAGTTCCTGAGGGTAGCCAGAACATATGATCCTCCTGCCTCAGCCTCCTTCCTGGCTGGGATTATAGGGGTACACCAACATGCCCAGCTTTGGTGAATATTTTTGATGTGCTATTTGATTTGGTTCCTTCATATTTTGTTGAGAATTTTTGCTTCTTCTATTTTCTCATTAGGATTATGGACCTAGTAGTTTTCTTGCCTGCCTTTTATATCAGGGTAATGCTGGCCTTGTAAAATGAGTTTGGAAGTGTTCCCTCCTCTTTAGTTTTTTTGGAAGCATTTAAGAAATGTTGAGTGCCAGATACTGTGGAACACACTTGTAATCCTAGCTACTTGAAAAGCTGAAGCAGGAGGATCTCAAGTTTGAGGCCAGTCTTAGTAAGATCCTGTCTCCAAATTAAAAATAAATAAATAAAAAAGGGCTAGGGATGTAGCTTAGTGGTAAAGCACTCTTGGGTTCAGTCCCCAGTATTGCAAAAATTATTGATATTAATTCTTCTTTGAATGTTTGGTAGAATTCAGTCATGAAGCCATCTAGTTCTGGGCTTTAACTTGTTGGGAGATTTTTGATTATTGACACAATCTCCTTACTCATTATTGGTCTGTTCAGATTTTCTAATTCTTCATGATTCATTCTTGGTAGGTCATATATATCTAGGAATGTATCCATTTCTTCTACGTTTCCAATTTACTGGCATGTGATCATTCATACTAGTCTTATGATCCTCTGTATTTCTGTAGTATCAGTAGTCATGTATCCTCTTTCATGTTTTATTTTATTTGATATTATCTCTCTTTTTCTTGGTTAGTCTAATTAAAGGTTTGTCAAGGACTGGGGTTGTAACATAGTGATAGAGTACTTGTCTTGCATATGTGAGGCACTGGGTTAGATCCTCAGCACCACATAAAAATAAATAAAGATATTGTGGTCCATCTACAACTAAGAAAAAAATTTTTAAAAAGGTTTGTCAATGTTATCTTTTCAAAAAGCCAACTCTTGCATTTGTTGATCTTTTCCATTATTTTTTCTAGTCTCTATTTCATTTATTTATACTCTAATCCTTATTATTTCCTTCCTTTTGCTAACTTTGGACTTAGTTTATTGTTTTTATAGTTTTTGAACTAAAAATTAGTATGCTTGAGATCTTTCTTTTTTCTTTATGTGTTTATTGACATAAATGTTTTTATTGTATTTATTCAGAAGTATTTCACTCTTTGATGATATTAAAGGGGTACTGTGTTTTAAATTTCTACTTTCAGTCGATCCCCTATTTTGATGCTGTTCCTTTATTTTGAATACTATCTCCCTAACTTTCTGCTTATCAAAATTTCCTCAGCTTTCTAGACTTAGCTTAAAGTACACTAACTTGGTGATATCTTTGCTAATCCCCTGGATAGAATTAAAGCTTTCCTCCTCTGCATCCTTCTAACATGCTGTGTTCCTGTTTGTCCCTGTTCAATTTAGTCTGCTTGTGTAGCTAGTACCTCATGTCTGGCCCTTTCCCTGTTATACATAACTTTGAAAGTAGTCATTAGCTTGGGGCCAAGCACAGGCAGATGACTCATGATATGTATTTGTTACATTGAATTGTAGTACAGGGAGAAGTTCAATTTCAAAATTATCCAAGTGGCAGGTGAAAGTTAATAGGAAGAAAAACCACAAGTGCCCTTCTTCCAAATAAGGAAATGGCATCAGAGGTGTGTGTGTGTGTGTGTGTGTGTGTGTGTGTGTGTGTGTAAGGCCGTGGGTAACCAGTTATTTCCAGTATAAGCTGGAAATGAAGGGTGAAAACATTATGTTTTAGAGTAATGAATGAAAGTTTTGGCAACACCTGTCAAATGGAGTCAGTTGGCCCAACGCTTGCAGAAATCCAAGAATGCAGCTGGTTTGTCAAAGAGGATTTTCAGTGGCTTTAATGATTACTTATTGAAAAGCAATTAACTATAAGTGTAAGAAACTATAGTAGTAGAAGATAATGTAATAATTCAGCAAACATTGACTGGAACTGCCAGACACGTGGTGCTTATCTGTAATCCTGGTGGCTCAGGAGGCTGAGGCAGGAGATCGAAAGTTCAAAGCCAAACACAGCAATTTAGTAAGGCCCTAAGCAATTTAGTGAGGCCTTGTCTCAAAATAAAAAATGAAAAGGGCTAGAGATGCAGTTCGGTAGTTAAGTGTCCCTATGTTCAATATCCAGTATAAAAAAAAAATACATTGACTGAGATTGCCTCATATGAAATTGCTGTGCTCAAAGTCATGGGGAGATCATTGGGGACTGGAAAGAAGAAGAAGGGAGTAAGCTTTGAAATAATGAAAATAATACAAATTTGCTCCTTGATCCTGTGTATTGAGCATTTGCTACGAGATAGCAGTCTATTCAGTACCTAAAGTGAAATTATCTTATCTAATCCTCACAATCCTGATAAGTAATTTTATTATTACCATTTCAAAGATGAATAAACTGAGGCTCAGAGAGGTCATATATCTTCACTGCAAACTTTGGAAAAAAGAAATTAGTTGGCATTTATTAAGCATTATGTACCAAGAGCTATTTTGAGCACCTTTGTGCATTAACTCATATTAATATATGTAGAAAACGAAGTTCCTGCTTTCAGGCACTCTAGGCTTCATGTGAATGTTAATATTTAAAGAAGAAGGGTAGGAGTTTGACTGATTGGTGGAGGATAGGCCTTCCATGCACAGGAAGTGCTTGAACAAATTCCTGGAGATGATAGAGTCCAAGGCCTTTGAGTAACAGTACAACCTGCAAAACTACAAGAAGCATGAGGAAGCCATAGAACAGGAAGTGAAGCTGAGAAAGAAGCTGTAGGCATTAGAGCTGAGGAGTAGTGAGTAAAGACTAT